TCATGTCCATTTGTTTTGAAACATAAAGTACAATATAGCGCAACAGTAATGAAACTCGAATACGTAAGATGTTCACTTTAGAAACACTAAAATTTATTAATGCGAATATTTCACGTTGTCAATGCTTAAAAACGCATAAAACCAATATTCTGAGAGGGTTACATGGTAATATACTATAATAGTAGTACATATATATTATTGTGAGACCAATTTTCAAGTACCAACTAACCACTTATCGTTCAACATTGAGCTCACCCTCTAATTATGATACCCCCTCTAATTCGAGACTGAGACCACCTTTAAAATCAAACATTTTTTTTTTTAATTCAATATTCTGTCATTTTAAAAATTGACCTTCAGCATTAACAGATGTATTTTCATAAGTTTCTTAATAGTGGTGGTCTAATAAAAAGGTGATATTTAAAATACATTGAATGTACAGTTCTTAAATATCCTGAGAATTTATTGTCCTGAGAATTTTGTTAACTTTTTAAAAAAAGATACGCGCTGTAGGATAAAACATCTATAGGTACATTTTAATTTTTTGTCCTTTATTAATTATTGTAGCAATGACCATTTCCACCCTTGGTGTACTTTTCTACCAATTCAAAACATGATAATAAAGCATTATAGACCTATGTGTATTTTATTTTTGATGACTGATAATGATGTACATACAATATCGACTATCATAGACATGCTGTATGTATAACCAATGTTGCAATACAGAAGATTTATCATTAATAACAATTTCAGGGGCATCCACCTTATAAAATCATTAGAAAATTTATATATTGTGCGAGATTACTGAATACTGTACAATGACAAGGACAACTCACTCGCTGCGATCCCAGGACTTGGACATGTCAGTACCTTAGCTAAACTGGTGGTAGCCATCAGGGGCGGATTTAGTTGGGGGGAAAGACCAGCCTGCCCCCCCCCCCTTTTTAGAGGTTAAAGAAAAAGGGAAAATGAAAGGAAAGAAAAATATGATAGCGCAGAACGCCTCAAATGTTATTTTCGGGCGTCTAGAACACGAAAATTTTGCGGGGGCATGCCCCCAGACCCCTAGTACAGTGTTGTCTCGATTGGCCCAACTTTTGGCCCAACTTTTGGACATCTCTGGATCCGCCCCAGGCCATTGTGTGTGCATAACCATGGCTCTCCTCTTCTTGTGTTGCAGTTAAAGTGTTGTAATGTGTCTTTTAGAAAAGGCTAAACCCTTGGTCATGTGCATATTAAAGAATGCTTACAATCTTTGTAAGGCTAAAATTGATATCCTAGTGCACGGTACTGGTCAATCACCACCTGAAGGACCCTACTGGAAATAAGTTTGCAGGCTGGGGTGGGTGGGTTCACTAGATAAGCAAATACCTCTAAAATTGTTCTTATTGATAAAACTTCTTGTAAAATGTTCTAAAATTATGGTCACCGTACTGTTTACATACAGCATGTCTATGGAAGTTGATACGTTATTAGTCATCAAATAGTACAGTACAGTAAAATATATATATTTAAAATTTGACCACTATAATTAAATTTCTGTCATTAATCAATTACGTGGCCTCAAAAACATAATAAATGCAATAAAGATACAGATGCAGTAAACAAAATACACTGTCAAAACTGCAAAATTGTCCCAGTTTTGGTGACAAATTAAAAAATTAAAACGTGTTTAGGCAAAGCCTAAACGTGTTTAGAAAATAGGATGAATGTTGTAGGAAGTTATCCCCATCGAGAAGTATCATTACCAAATTATTCAATATTGTGTATTCATTATGTATTTAAATGAGGCATTTGAACATTAGTTGCAGAACATGTCTGTGCAAGACCACATAAACTTGAGGGAAAAACTTTAGAAGTAACATTAATCGAGGAATTGGGTCCTGCAGAAAACACCATTGAAGTCACTGAATTTACGTCTTCGATTGGAGAAGAGGCGCTGGAGCTTTATTTTGAGAACAAAAGATCAGGGGGAGGAGAAATAATAGAATCAAAAATGAATGAAGACAGAAGTAAATTCACTGTTACGTTTGAAAATGAAGAAGGTAGATTAAACAGTAAATCTTACAATAACTAACAATTTCCCCATGTGTGCAATCAATACTTCCCAGTTATTTATTTTATTTATTTATTTTATTTCACCCTTAACAGTGAGAATGCCAATAGCAGGGAGCATAGAGTAATACAATATAAAATCATAATAAAATTGATAAAATTCACAATAAAATATTGAAAACGGTACAAAAATATTGAAAACAGTACAAAAATATTCATATAGATCAATTTACAAAAGTTATAATGTGCAAGGAACATTGTAAGAAAATTAAATAAAATAAAATTCTAGAGCAAGGTTAATGATCAAATGACAAGTTTAACTTGAGCTAAAAATGAATGAATAGGTCGGTGAAAGATATCAATACAGTATTGTTAAATTGAGTATACTGCTAATACATATTAATGCTAAAACATGGTCAAATACAGTACAAATTAAATAAATATATGACATTTTATTGCCAGTGCCAAAAAGGTTGCTTTTTAAAAAATACAATTGGGGCCTATGATCTAAAGGGTGGCATTTTTATGTATGAACATGCTGGTTATTATAATACTGCTCTCATTGGCTTTCAACAGCGGATTTAAAATGCAATAGTCTACCTTTTTTCTAAAGAGACGTTTTAGATAATACATTATCGGAGGATTATCTACAATGCTACGAAACATCACTTTACAGGAAATAGGCCTATATTCGTGTTTTAATATCAGTTGTAACATTAACAAGTATGTATTTTATCTTTTAGTTGTGCATAGAATTCTTGCACATGATCATGTGCTAAGTGGAACATTCCTGAATGTTCAACGTCCAAAAAAAATGTGGCAATATAAACAAGTGGACAAATCAGAAGTGGAGGTGCATGGAGATACATCTACAGATTTACTAGAAATGTATTTTGAAAGTCGCACAAAATCTGGAGGTGGTGGTAATGAGGTCAACGTTGTGTTCCATGAAAATAAACAAATATGGACTGTCAAGTTTGACAATGTAGAGAGTAAGTAGATTCACTTCTTTTCAGTTTAGTATATTGGAAATTTGATTAATTGCTGGAATTCATCTCTTAGTTTCTACATTGATTCCTCAATTCAAAAAATCCAAGCACATACTTTACTTGCAGTACAAAGGAATTTTGAAGTATGGTACACCTAATAATAATAATAATGTTTTCTTCTGTGCATAGTACAGTAACAGTTAACTCATATGGGTACTAAACTTGAGATACACTTCTACTTTGGTGAAAAATAAATGCAGTATTTAAAAAAAAATAAAAACAAAAACATTGTTTTATCGATAAAAAATAGTTTTCATTATGTTTTTTTGGGCTTCCCTAGTTGCTGATAGAGTTCTTAAAAAATCTCATCGACTGAACAACAAAGATATTAAGGTATCAAGACCAGAGCCAAAGAGAATTGTTGCATGTAAATCTCCTTCAAGTGATACTGATGGGAAAGAGGAGGAAGAAGACATACCTTTGGTGGTAGAAAATGTGAACACGTGTATATCTGAAGAACACTTGAAGTTGTACTTTGAAAGTCATGAAAAGTCTGGCGGAGGACCAATTGTTTTAATGCAGAAAAACCAAAAAGTGGATGGTAACTGGACCATACATTTTCAGAAACCGGGAGGTATTTTGAACTTGCATCATGTTTACTATCGAACTTTAATTGTAAACGCATTTTACTTTCTTAATGTACGTAAATTTAATCATACAAAATTATTTTCTGTGACTAGTTCTGTAGTTTTCTTGTAACAGTTACAGGTTTTAGGGTGCAGTGCAGCTTTGTTTTGTTCATTTGTATAGGTCTATTTTTTCTATAATAATTGTCTAGAAATTTTAGTAATAGGGGTAGCCATAATTAATGTGATGGTGACTGGCAGTTACAATTTTTAATATTGTTATTTTTTGTTGTGGCTACTGTTGTATTTAGTATTTATTCTTATTCATCCTCATTATCATCATTCCATATATGTTCCCTCAAGGGGATGATGGAAAGGTGGGAGAAGGGGGGTCCAGTCCTCCCGACACCACTCTCTGCTCTCCTCCTGTCACCACCTCTGCTTAGATCAACCACTCTACCTTAATCTTGAACACAATCTATCCTTTTTGCCCATCTCTACGTGTTTCGCTGCCCCTCTGACAAAATCGTCCTCCTAATTTCTCTTTATGTGTCCATACCACCTCAATGTGTTTCCTGTTATTTTCTACTCTCAAATTTACAACTTTTATTTTTTATTGGTATTTCTATGTTAAAACAGAAACTATTTCGCACCATTTTGCTGGTTATTAGAAATGTAGCAATAATGATCATGCACAGTTACGTCGGTTATTTTTATCTTAGGGAAGAATTCCTAGTTATGCATGAACATTCAGGATAGATCAATGTGTTAAATATGCGCATCTTGCTAGATACTGTCATCCATTGTAAGTCTGGAAGGACAGATACAAAACCGTATAAAGATAATTCAAATGAAGTATTTTAATAATTAAAATATTATCTATATTAAATATATATTTCTTTAAATTATTTTTTATTGGCTTAAGATTAAAGAGCATATCTTCAATGTGATCATGCCAACTTGTAACAATTTCATTTTTCCTACTCCAGTTGCTCAAGCAGTTGTTGGACAAAAATTTCATGAGCTGGGTGGATCGAGATTGAATGTTAAGCTTGGGATGAGATGTGCTAAAAGACCACTCATCGACCGTTGTCTATTGATTAGTGATCTTCCAAGGAAATTAAATTTAGAAATATTTCAACTTTACCTAGAAAAGGTATCAAGAAAGAACAAACCGATAATTAAATTTGGAAGAGATCCCACAAAAGCCATGGTGGAGTACACAGATTCTATTAAAGGTATTAAAGAGTGACAACTATTACTCCACATTGTATTTGTTGTATTATTTTTATATTAAACTATAATTCAGTGAACTGCTTTATTGAATTTTTTTTTGTTGTTAAAAGATATTGATGAGGTGATCTCAAGAATCGAAAAACAGAAACTTCAGAATACAAAAATCAATGCAAAAAAAGTGTTTGAAGCCGACAAAATCATTGTTCAGAACTTGGACAAGAATTTCACAGAGGAAATGTTAAAACTATACTTTGAAAATTACGGCAGAAGCAGTGGAGGACCAATAAATGACATGCAGTTAGACGATAAAAGGTTGGCGGTAACTATACAGTTTGGAAACTACACAGGTAAGTTTTCATGACCTCAGGCTATTCTCAATAATTTGGAACCTTTACCGGTACTGTAATATGCCTATTTACAAATGTAAAAGAAAAAAAAAAATTAAAAAAAAAAACAATACAAGCTGTATAGTTGTTTGCTGGACCTCCGACATTTTTTCTTCTTGATGTAGTGGTGAAATCAGTACTTAGAAAGAAGCATCACCTTCAGAAAAAAGAGCTAGAAGTGTGTCTATACTATGATGAAATTGGTGCACTTGTATCAGATGGCCATCGATGGACACCAGATCCAATACCAATACCTGTTGACCCTGAACTTCTTAACTTTGTTCTTATGACTCCGACTTTCAATGACAATATGTCTCATGCTGGAATAGAAATAGAACATAACCCCGATGATCCTGGAATTTTTAAATTGCATGCTGCTGAATGTCTGGACCTCAATGGCACCCATGATTGGGAAGATCATGCTGCAAGTAATTACAAACAATTCTTCACTGACACATTTGACAAAAGGACATTGGAAATTGGAGATGAATGCTTTGAAGAATTTCAGAAATACTTAGAAACCGTAGATACAGAAGGTGTGGAGCTATTACCAGATGATTCATCGCCATCTCTGATGATTTTAGGGTTAAAAGACGCTGTCAAGATTGTTTGGGATAGGCTATCACATCAACTAAAAATAATGAATGATGAAATTGAAAGGAAAAAAAATATAACTAAGAAAACAAAAACATTTAAGCCAATCAAGATTAAGCAAATCCATTTGCTTAGGTTTGGGGAGGCTGCAATGAGTAACTATGGAGTTAAAATGGTGGTGGATGATCACAATAATATGGTTTCATTTGAGGGACTTCTCGATGACATAAACAGTGCCATGCTTGATCTTTACAAAGAATTGGAGAATTTTGCAGAAGTTTCTTTTCTCCTTGATGCTGAAATTTGCAAATTTCTGACAGACTTTTACGACAAGATTATAAGTGTACTTGAGAATTATAATCATCATATTACATATGAAATATATGGAAATCGAGTGACAATATATTCTACCTCCGATGGAGATGCTACGACTGCAAAATCCAGGATTGAAGAAATAATCACACATCACAAGTATCCTCTTCCAAATGATAAATTGAAAGTTATGATGTCGACTGATGGACAAAAATTGCTAGACGATTTAAACTCTCCAAATATCGTAACAGTTGAAATGAAAGTTTCTCAAGAGGTATCCTGTATATCTATCACTGGAATTAACATACCTGTTCAGGAAGCCATCAGCCAAATTGACCATTTTCTAATTACCAATCAAATTTTGGAGAAAAAGATGAGCGTTGAAAGAGAAGTAATTCGGTTATTTGAAAAACATCATTCAGAAGAACTTTTTGCTGTTGAATCAGCTCTGAATATGTACTTTGTAAAATTTAAACCTAATGAAGCAGACAGCTGCATTTTTATTAGAGGCAATTGTACTGGTATTGTTGAGGCTACGAAGAAAATAAATGACATGAAAAGCAAGGTGCGGTCAGGCAAACATTTGTTATCCCAACAAGGGATGGCTAATTTCTTTAAAGAAGAAAAGGGCAGACTAGCTCTAGAGTCTGTGGAAAATACATGCACGTGTGTTATCGAATTTAGTGGCCGAGATACCAGCACTGCAGCAATGGAAATACTGTTACGACACAAAATACAAAATGGTATTGAGTTAATAGTATGCAAAGCAGATATGACACAAATGAAGGTGGATGTCATTGTCAATGCTGCAAATGAAAAACTTCAGCACGCTGGGGGATTAGCAAAAGCTATTGTCGATGCAGGTACAGTAAATTATATTTTCCTTTGAAGATATCGCATGGTCTTATGCAATTGTTGTTTTATTGTCGCAGTAAAACATATTTGCAGAAGTTAAAAGACAATTTATACATTAATTATTGTAAATGTGAAAGGCTGTTACTTTTGCTTTTTACATAATACAAAAAAAATATACTAATAAAAATATATGTATATTTTTTAAAAATTACCAATAATTTGTTTATATTTTTTGTAGGAGGGAAAGAAATACAGGAGGAAAGTAAAATTATAATGGCAGCCCGTAATGGTGTACCAATTGCATCAGGAGAGGCTATTGTAACAGCTGCTGGTAGCCTTCCGTGTAAAAAGGTCATTCATACTGTCGGTCCAAAATACTCAGATCACCCCAAAACGCGGTCAAAACGGTTACTTATGGAGGCAGTGACATGTGCTTATGAAGAAGCAGAGAAACTTGGACTTGCCTCAATTGGAATGCCTGCTATTAGCTCTGGGATCTATGGTTACCCTCTTACACCTTGTACTCAGACGATTCTAGAGGCAACAAAAGAGTACTTTAATGAAAATCCTCGATCAAAAATTCAGCAAGTGTACTTCCTAAGTATTATGATGAACGTTTGCAAAGAATTTGAAGCTAGCATGAGAATGGCATTTAAAATCAATCAGGTGGATAACGTCGCTGTCGCGATTGACAACAATTATGTTGATGATGAATACCTTGCAGAAGTTACTGCAATGCAAACTAGCAGAAACCCAGGACTTACAATAAATAATGAAGTTTTAACTACGAGAGAGGGTTTTCACATTAGTCTTGTAAAGGGCAAGATTCAGGATTCATGGGTAATATTTGACTTTTTTATTGTTTACTTGTTATAATAAATTATCGCATCTGCCAAAATAGCTGTTTTTGTAAAACAACATAAAAACGACGATTTGTTTAATGTATGTGATTCCTGTCTTGTGTGTAAATAGGAACATCAATATTACAACTGCTTATGTAGTCAAATTAAGGGAATTATTATAATATCATAGAAAATTAAAACAAAAAAATCCCTGCCAATCACAGACACATAGTAAAAATTGTTTATATAGGGCCTATGGGTTTGTAGGGAAAAATATAACACGTACTATTCTTTGCATACAGAAGACCCTAAACTTTGTCAGTAATCAATTTTTTGCTTGTATAGTAAATCATTGAAAACTAAATTTTTTTGATCAGCAACACATCCCAGTGGCGGATCCAGAATTTTTCAAACGGAGGGGGGGGGGGGGGCACAACAGTTTCAAAATAGGCAAATAGCACAAAACATTGATTTGCATTGAAATTGTTAAAATTTTGTAGCAAACCGGGGAAGGGGTGGGGGCACGTTCCCCGGTGCTCCTACTGGAGAAAAGCTAATAGCTTACAAAAATACACAAAGCAATTTTACAGGTTGTTAAATTTTAAAGGTCATATTACATCTGCGTGGCAGTATATTATAAACTCCATTAATCAGAGAACAAGATGCGTATATTTATTTGTGTGCTTAGGTCAAGAGATTGCTGTTAGTAGTGTAAAAGAATAACCAAACGAATACTTTGAACCCAGGATCTTTCAGATGGGAAAGGAAGCATCTTAACAACCAAACTGAAACTTAACTCTAATTAGGATTACAGTAATTATTATTATCATGATTATTCTAGGTTGATGTTATTGTCAACACAACTACACCTGACCTAAATTTGAACACTGGCGGTGTCTCATCAGCTCTTCTTAAAGCTGCTGGTAGCCAACTTCAACAGGAGTGTTATCAGTGCAAATCTACCAGAGGAAACATTCGTTTGACACATATTGTCGAGACAGGTCCTGCTGCCCTCAACTGTCAGAAAGTATTTCACACATCATCAAGGCCTTATAAGGGACCAAGTTCAATGCAGGTGTGTGTGCACTATAAAGAACCCAGTACATCGGGACGGGACGCGTAGAGATAACCTAGTGTAATGGTACAGACAACGAGAGTTGGTGGTACTGGTTTACAGGGTAACACAGACAAGAAGAAAGTCATGATTTTTTAAACATTAAAGAAGAGGAATGAGCAAGTGTGAAACAAATAGGTTCCCCAACCGGGATTCTAACCCGGGACCTTCTGCTGTCTATCAGACGCCACAAGCAACTAAGATATTGAGGCTTATTTTTTGATAATAACCAAACAAGCCACATCCTCATACAGCTAGCCTGAAGTGTTGAATCAACACATTTTTTGGAGTAGATATTGATGAATTTAATTCATTTCAACAAAAAATGATTGAGGTTTACAGCAAAAATATGTAGGTATTAATCACTATTTTATTATATAGATTTGGTATGTTTACAGGACATAAGGAAACTCCTTAAGAACATATTCTCATCTGCATCGAAGATGAAGTCGATTGCCATTCCTGCTCTTGGTACTGGTAACCTAAAGTATCCTGCTGATGAGGTAGCAAAGATTATGTATGAAGAGGCGATTGCATTCAGCTCAAAACATCATTCGCATAGCTCCTTACGGGACATCAAGTTTGTGGTGTTCCTCAAGGATTCTAAAACGCTTCAGGTACGATTTTATTCGTAAAATAAAATTTAGATATTTATTTTTTATAACAATGTGACCGGCTCTAGCAACCCTGTGTTGAAATTTTAAAATTTAGATTTAGCAATCTTAGAAAAATACTGTATTGTTCACTACTATTACTCGTCATTGTTTATTCTACCACGTATCACAACAAAGATGAAGCAGTATATTCCATAAATAAAGTAATTCAAGTTTTGATATTAACGGGAATAAAGATAAATGTATGCCCTATATTACAAAAAATTAAAGAGGAAAAAAGATTATATTATACCTATTTAATATTAACCATAGTGGAAACCAATTCACCCACAGTATCTCACAAAACAACCTGATAGGAATGTCAAAGGGGAAATTATACTGTAAATGATCCACACATGTTTTTTTTTTCCTAACCGTCGTTCTCATGCACAATGAGTGCCGCGATCCTACTGCAATTAAAGATATATTCTATTTTTACTTGTAGCGCTTAATAAATGGTATGCACCCAAATAGCCTTGATGTTTGCTAAATTATTCTTTATTCCTAAATAACTAAATACTTTGCAAGCCACTGGGGCTCATAGGACTGGAGCTTATCCCCAGTTTCTGTAGTGTGAAGCGGTTGAGAGCTGTACTCCCTCTGGACGGGACACTAGTCCATCGCAGGTTACAGTAGTCCCAGCAGATTGCTGGTACCCATTGATACAGCTGGGTGGACTGAAGCAATGTAGCTAAAGTGCCTTGCCCAAGGACACAAGCGAATCGGCACAGCGGAGACTCAAAACCCCGAACCTCAACCGCTGCGCCAAACTGCCGCCGCTATTCCTAAGTAAGAAGAACATTAAAAATACATTTAAAGCATCAGCGTGAACTTTAAACCTCAACATGAACTTCTATATCTAATCACATTTTTAGATCCTTTCTTTCAACATAACGTTACTCCACACCCCCCACCCCAATTTTTGTTTTTTATTGTTAAGATGGTCAGTACTTTGTATGAGCCAACTTCATCTTTAGTCTCCTCATCATCTCTTGATTTTGTGTAATTTGTGCGTACGGATAATAATTATATTTTTATTACATTTTTATATTTAGGCATTTGAAAATGAGCTTAAGAATTTAAAAAAAGCCGGGAAAAAACTAAAAAATTCACCGAAGCTGCTACGGGCAAAAGACGCAGTTGGTCACCGTGAAAAACGTATGAAATATTAGCATTACTCTATAATAAATTCCTGTATTAAATCTTGGAATTAAGTTTTAGTTTTGCAAGAGTACTCATGCAGTAGGCCTACTTTTATGAACATGAGTAATTACAGTATATATTTTAAATACAAGTAGGTTTTCATCTGTTGTGGAGTAAAGACCAGTACAAGATAAAAGATGAACTTGGAATCTTTAATAATCAAAAAATGATAGAATCAGAGATTGCAACAACATATAAAATAATCTATAATAGTATCTAGTAGAAAGAAGTAATATAGTTAATTGCTTGTTTCTATTCACTTTTATACACAGGCTTTCGAAAAGTAAGTGAACTGTGTGCAGAAATGAAGATAGCTGGTATAACTGTGACAATACTTCAAGGAGACTTAACACATAATGATGCTGATGCTATTGTAAATATAACAACAGAGGATTTTGATTTGAATTGCGGTAAATCAATTTGAATTTTATTATGTTTAGCTTTGCCCACACAGTGGAATAGTCTGGTTTTTGTTTTGCCTTTTCTACTGTATATTTTCGCACAGGACTTTTCTGACCAGCGCTCTAGTCAATTTCCGTGCTTGGATCTTTATTTTATTTTATTTTTTAAATTTTATTTTATTTGAATTACATCTAACAGTGGAATCGCCCATTACAGAATGTCTTAAACATAAAACCCATACAAAAAAGTTCTATAGAGCTCTATAGAATTCTATAGAACTTTATATAGAGTTCTATGTAACTCTATAAAGGCAAAATATTTCTATAGAAATGTTTTATAGAGTTTACGCATTCTATAGAATTTTAATATTTTCTATAGAATGTTGTATTCCACTCTATAGAAAATTATTTTGTTGCACAATTTATGGATTGGTGACCTACACTGGATTTTCAATAAATGTGTTATTGCAGAAGCTTGGTTTTGAACATGAAACATTATTAAATAATAATAATTAAAAAAATAATAAATAAAACTATTGCATTTGGCTCATGGTCTGATGTTGA